AAGAATCAATCGATCAAGAATCAAACATTCTTACCCAAAGTCCTGCTTCCCGAAAGGCCAGCGGAAGTGAGAAGCAACCAGGACCAATCATTCCTTTGAGGAAGTTGATAAGCGTCAGATGAGCTCTGAGATTAATTTTCATATTTTTCTGCACTTAATCTCTCAGTTTTGCTGCACCACTGCTCTCATTCTCTTATTTCGGTAAAGTAGAAATTTTCCATGAATACTTACGATAATCCTTTCTTCTTCGCTGATGCATTTTCGACTCGGTCTTGAGGCCTTTTTCTCGCAGTCTCATCGTCATAAGTAAAGTCTACAACGCTGATGTTTGGCATTCTCAATAGTTGTTTTCCATGGATCTGCAAAGATTTTTTCCTGATAGAACTAATTGGGTAACGCATGAACGGTTCAAGCGCAATTCTCGAACAATTCTTTGTTTTTCAATACCTTTCTATGCGGCTTGTAAACAATTTCTAAGAGCACTGCTCTTGTATCTTCCAATATTAGGATGCGCGTCTACTTTCATCTTCAATTTTACACTCCATTCATAAAACACCGTTGAAAAAATCTTATTCACTTTTCTAGACTCATGCATAAGTAATTGCTACAACTTTAATCATAGCTGATATCTCCGGTAAAGTTTATAATATTTTCCAGGTCAACACACTTGATTTTGTCTCTGAAAATGCACTAAGGTGGTTGCATGAGATAATTTTTTATACTTAAAGGCGTGGGAATAAACATGAGCTGTCCAAAGCTTACAAGAAACTCTTAGGTCAAAGACGCACTAGGATTTGGTTAATAAATTGGGAGGTTGAAGATTATTATCGAAAAAGCTCAATTGGGCTTGAATCTGATGTTTTATCCAAAGCAGATCTGTCTCCTCTACTTTTTTTCGATTACAGCAGTATGGGTTGCAGAATGACTTTCCGGACACCTAAAGCAAAACTCAAAGAGTGTTATTAAGCATATGATGATCTTTGAGATTTTTTTGAATGATCGCAGACGATTGTGCGCTGTTTTGAAAGCTTGGAAAAAATCGTCTGTAGATTTTTGCTGCTTTCAAGTATGAAACTCCAAAGTTATGGCTCCTCTTAGACCAACCCAATCAAGTTTCTCGAGAATCTTATCACATCGAACTGGTCTTAAAAAAGCTACCGAAGCTTACAACCAGTGACGTCAGCAAAAAGTCTGCACTACTGCTTCACTGTTGTTGAAACATAATGTGCACGCTCAAATTCACTCAAATTAATTGCAATAGCTACACAGATATTTATTTATAGGACGGAAATGCATCTGCGTCATACTTCAGCGTAAGCTCGTATTGTTTGAAAAGGCTTTATACTGATGAAAAAATTGGGGAGCAAAGAACGGATCAATTTGCCACAAAAAAGGAAAATATGCCAGGAATTCAAAGATTTTCACAAGATTTGCAGCATTTTGCTACCTACATCAGTCAGGGTTTTTACGTATTTCACTTAA